GCAAGACAATGCCAAGCAGTACGAAATCAACTGATTAGATCCTTGTACTATGTCTTGAAAGCTCTGACTCCAACGTTGACCCTGGGTCAAAGTTCACCGTGAAACCTTCGTCCCTCGAAAAACTGACCCCGCGGTCAATAAGCCTCCAGTTTTCAGCGGGGGCAAACCGCCAAGCTCACGGCTCTCAGTCCCATGGCTTGAGGAATCCATTTCCTCCTCCGTAACGTCGGAAAATCCCAGGGATATCAAGAGGCACACCGCCGCACGGAGATTTTTTGAAGAAGCGCAATGGCTGGTGCGATGTGCCCGTGCCGAAATAGGTCCAAGTAGGTTGTAAAAAGCAAATGCATTTCCACCTTTTCCCGACATGAGTTTGACTTGTTGGTTCGGACCTTGGGCTATTTCACCCGCTCAAGCTCGGCTTGGGAGCCGGGGATCTAAGTTCAGACCCCCAAGCCACCCACCCAAACCACCGTGGCCACTGAGGCGTCCGCGCGGTAGGGATCGCAGTTCGCGCCGGGGCGGCGGTCCTCCATGTACCCCCGGCCTTCCTTCTCAGCATCGCGGGGGATGCGGATGGAGGCGCCGCGGTTGGCCACGCCATACCTTCGGCGCCAATGGTTTTTGGGGGGATATGGAAAAAATGAACCAGCGCAAGTACCTTTTTTTTTTAAAAAAAAAAATATAATATGGTGGCTTCGTTTTTGATTGAGAAAAATATAGTCATTTTGAGTTTGCGGTGAAACAACTTTAAGTGCTTTCTCATTTTGGCAAAATACTTGAAGGTGTTGATGTCGCAGGTCTCGTGCTTGCCCGTGAGGCGCTTGTCGTTGTCCTCCCCGTACTCCAAGATGTGCTGCTTGGCAACTTTGCCAAAGGCCTCACACACCTGGTGCCAGTCAAGAGCTCAGGCTCCATGGCTGCGGCTTGCGCCAGAAAAATGTAGCCTAAAAAATGTACGGGTTCCTTGCTGGATTCCCTTATAAACCTGTGAAAAGGGCACCCTCAAGAAACACACACACACACTGAAACAAACAAACAAACAAACAAACAAACAAACAAACAAACAAACAAACAAACAAAAACACACACACACACACACACACACCCAATTGCGACACGCCATGCCCCGAGATTTCAAGCCCAGAGATGGCCTTGATGATGCAGTCATAGCCGCCGGGCGCACGCATGGGCGACACGGAGAAGTTGGTGTGGCACCCGGCGCCGTTCCAGTCGCCTTCCTTCGGCTTGGGGTCGAAGGAGCAGACACAGTCGTGCTTCTCCGTGACCCGCAGCATGATGTACCGAGCCATGGTGAGGTGATCGCCCATCCTAAATACAAAAATGGGTCACTAGGTCCTCCGGTTTGGGAGGTTAGAATAAGTTGGCACCCGGTTATTTTTCGGTTTTGCCCTACCCCACAAAAGGCTAAAAGGGCACTGCTGGGAGACCTAGGTCATGAGAAAAAATGAAACATGCACCCCACTTTCGGTTCCTGAAAACGTGTCAGAACCTGTGCTAACTTTTTGAGCGCTCAGTGTCTCAATTCCCCGGCAGGGTCCAACCTGGAACTCCCACTGACCAGGCATCACCTCCGCATTGATGCCTGAGATCTTGACCCCCGCCTCCAGGCACATCTTGTAATGCTCGTCCGCCACCGGCCGGCCAATTGCCACATTGAAGCCCGCGCCTGTGTAGTAGGGCCCCTGTGCTGCGGGCTCGCTGCCATCGGCGTTGAAGCCCAAAGGCACTGCCGACTTCATGCCCACCTTGCCTGGATGCCGATTTCGTCCGCGAAGAGAGTTTTGCAAAAACTGGTGGCGGTTTAGCAGACTCAGATGCCCAGCAACCATGGGAAAAAAAGGCATTTTGTTTTGTTTTTGGGTTGGTTGACTTTAAATGGGAACGCTTACCCAGAAAGAAAGGAAAACTGGGCACCACTGGGCAAGTGGGTAGATTGATAAAAACCCGAGTTAAAACCTAATCCCCGAACAGTTACACACTCGTTCAAGTTTTGAGAAAACTAGTTAAAGCCTAAAGAAACCAACCAACCAACCCACCTACCAACCAACCCACCGACCAAGCGACCGACCAACCACCCGACCGACCGACCAACCAACCAGCCAGCCAACCAACCCACCGACCAACCAACCATCAAACGAAGAAACCAACCAAACAAAACCAAAAAACCGCGGACAAGCGTCCGGGCTTCATCAGAGTGTACTCCTGCTCAATACCGAACCAGGGATCCAGCGTGCGGTACATGTCCATGGTCTCCGCGCATGCCACCCGGGAGTTGTTCTTGGCCGGCTGGTCGTCCCAGGCATTCCAAGCATCCGCCAAAACCATCACATGCGGATAGCCCCGGAATGGATCCTGGCGGATAAAGGGTCTAGCAAACATGAAGAAGTGTTGCACATGCCCTGCTGGTTTCCTTTCAAGGTTAATTGCATAAGTCCATGTCAGGGCCCATTTCCATGTCGCAGCTTTCTGGGGCTGGATTCCCGCAATCAAACCATACCTAACACAACATCCGCCAAGAAAATTGAGGTTCACAGCAGGCACTCGCACATGACTTTTTTGTGACTTCAGAGAACGTGCGGTTCTTCTATTTTAGGGGAACCACCTCAGAGAACTTACGGCTCTTTGACGTTGGGGATGCTACCCTCCCACCAGATAACATGGAACCTGACAGCGGGGTCCTAAAAGACAATGTTTTTCAAGGGGCCGGGTCCCTGTCAGGTTTCATGATACTTGACGGGAGGTGTTTGTTTGCACCCTTTTTCAAACCGCCGGGTCCCTGTCGTCAGGTTGCATGTTACACTAATGACTGGGAGGGAAAAACTTAAAAAGAAAAAAACATCTCAAAGGTTGCATGTTACATAAATGGCTAGGAGGGTAGGGAAAACTTCAAAAAACCATCTCACAACGGGCGGGGTTTTCGGTTGAGGCTCGTTGAAAATGGCGCGGGGCTTCAGCAGGACCTCTGAGTTGGAGCCGTCCGCTTGCCCCGTGCTGCTCCCATCGTAGTTCCAAACCTTGAGGTCCGCGACCTTTGTAGGCCTGGCGCCACAACTAGCCCCCTCCCGTGTCTCCCATGACGAAAAAGGCGCCTCAACTTCCGGAGCAGATAAAATGTGACTGTGGGCGAAAGAAACACACCAAAAATGTGTGTGTGTGAGTTGTGTGTGGTGTGTGTGTGTGTTGTGTGTTTTGTGTTTTGTGTTGTGTGTTGTGTGTTGTGTGTTGTGTGTTGTGTGTTGTGTGTTGTGTGGTGTGTGTTGTGTGTTGTGTGTTGTGTGTTGTGTGTTGTGTGTTGTGTGTTGTGTGTTGTGTGTTGTGTGTTGTGTGTTGTGTGTTGTGTATTGTGTGTTGTGTGTGTGTGTGGGGTGTGTGTTGTGTGTGTGTGTGTGTGTCTGTGTGTTGTGTGGTGTGGTGTGGTGTGGTGTGGTGTGGTGTGGTGTGGTGTGGTGTTGTGTGGTGTTGTGTGGTGTTGTGTGGTGTTGTGTGTTGTGTGATGTTGTGTGATGTTGTGTGGTGTTGTGTGGTGTGGTGTGGTGTGGTGTTGTGTGGTGTTGTGTTGTGTTGTGTTGTGTTGTGTTGTGTTGTGCTGTGCTGTGTTGTGTTGTGTTGTGTTGCGTTGTTTCTCGTGTTGTCTTTTTTGTGCTGTGTTGTGTGGTGTTGTGTGGTGTTGTGTGTTGTGTGGTGTTGTGTGGTGTTGCGTGGTGTTGCGTGGTGTTGCGTGGTGTGTGGTGTTGTGTGGTGTTGTGTGGTGTTGTGTGGTGTTGTGTGGTGTTGTGTGGTGTTGTGTGTGTGTTGTTTGTTTTCTTTTCATGTGTGCGAGGAAGAAACCAAAAAACCTTTTTGTTTTAATGTTTTCAGGCTTGGGCTTTGCACATTTGAGAGTCATGGCGCTTTGAAATCGTAAGTCGCCGAAAGGGCACGGGGTCGTTGCTACTGTGATATGCTGCGGAACCTGCAACTGTTGCTGAGGATAATTTTGAGGGTGTCACTCGAACAGTTCATTTTTTGAACTGACCGAGTGACATTCTCAAGGTTACCCTCAACATGGAGGTTGAAAGGAATCCCGGAATGGTGGTTCTGAGGAACTGGAGGATAAGTTGGAGAATGTCTCATTTGAGCTTTTCGGCCCCCTTCCAAAGTCGCTCATCTTGACACCCGGAAATGGTTCCTCAAGCGCTTGCGCGTTAAGCCCGCCCCCCCAACAAAAAATAGAAAAAGACCCTCCCCTCAAAAAAAGAAACGAATGCACACAAACAGACAAAGCCGCCACCCCCCCAAACAAAACAAACACACACATACACACACACACACAAACAAGCAAGAAAGAAGCCCCCCCCCACCCAACAAAAAGAAAGAACAACGCATGGAAAAACAACAAAAGACCCCCCCCCTCCATCCCCCCCCTCCCTCTCTCCAAAAAAAACACGGAGTCCTGGCAGTCATAGTCATGGTCTTGGACCGGGTCACGCCGTCGGCGTCCAGCCAGACGTACTCCCCCAAGACGCACTTGCTGAAGGTCCGCAACTTGGCCAAGGCCGAGGCGCCCCCGTCCTTCCCCACGCTGACGCCCTTGCCTCGAGAAAACCGCAGGGCTCCCGACATGTTTCCTTTCTCACAACACCAGGCTTCACCAAGGAACACTCACCTTTAGGCCACGAAGATGGATGTTTAAGCCACCACAGCTAAGGCTCACCTTTGGGCCCAAGAAGGTGGATGTTTAAAGCCACCAAAGGGGAAAAAGTTGAGGGGGACCCCCTGAACCAAGCAGGAGGCTTGCCTTCCCTTGGGTCTAAGATGCTTCCGGCAGGCTCGGGAGGCTCGTTCTAACAGCCTTTGGCTTCCCTTTGGAAGCAATTGGAAGCGTGGGTTCTTTACCAAGCTTTGAAAAACCAGTGAAAACTGAAGCTAAAGTCTGGTCATTTCAGAGCCAATCCAACAGAACAGGTCCGCTGAGTTGCTCTCCTCCGGCTTCACCGCGGGCTTGGTCGCGGGCTTCGCCGCAGGCTTGGCCTTGGCCGTCGCCTTGGCCGCTGCCTTGGCCTTGGCTTTCGGCTCCGGCTTCTGCTCCTTGGTCTTCTTCGCTTTGGAATTCTTGGACTTGGGCGCCTTGCAATAGCCGTCCCAGTAATCCTCAAGCTCCCGCTTCTTGTACCTTGGTTCGTTGGACCCTTGCTAAAGTGAAACTTTTGAGGGGATATGTCATGTCACAACACCCCTCCAAACTCGACCCCCCCAAAGTTAGGCTTTTAGAGGGATATAAACCTCTTCAAACCCCAACAGTCTATAAGTATGAGGGTATGATGACCCAATGGCCAGGAACCGCCAAGCTGCGTCCCCTTGTAGTGTGCCATCAGCTCCTTAAGCGTAACCGCCTCTCCGGTCGCGGGGTCCACACGCTTCTCCGCCATTCTGCGAGCCTCGTTTCCAGGCGACTCGTTGCATCAAGCGGATCAAACAGGCGTCACGTTTTCCCCCTCAAAAGCTACGACTTCATGGTGGGGTTCTACTGAAGCTGCCACTCTTGGGGCGTGGGCGCTCCTGCCAAGAGGGAAAAAAACACGTCAAAGGCTCTTTTTGATCTGGGCTGCCCTGTTAAACTACCACTAAACGCTAAAAAGCTAAAAGGCTAAGGAACCGGATGGCTGGGAGCCAATGTGTTGGGCTACACCCCCCCCCCAACCCCCCCAAACCCCCCCCCTGCCTCTGCGCAGCGGCTTCAAAGGACGGACCTTCAGGCGCGGGAGAGTGCCTTGAGCACGCGAAGCTGAGTCGGCTCGAGCTGCAATAGCTTCGGCAGTTCGGGCGAACGGCTGCGCACTAAGAACCAGGGCCTGGACTTCCCCTTGAACATGCAAACGGCGCAAGAAGCGCCTGGAGTTCCCTTTGATCATCACAGCAAAAGGAAACTCAAACTTTGACTTGGCTGCGCTGCTGCTCCCTCGGCAAAAAGTGAATCACTTTTTGTGGGTGTAGTGGAAAACCGCTTGATTTCCCAAAAGTTAGAGTCTAAAGACTTAACTGAACAGCAGTCAAGTTGAATTGGCCAACATGGTGATGTCTACGGCCCTCTAAACTCAAGGGTGGAAATTAAGGCAACCCTGAGAAACCAGGCGCTTGGAGAAGCCTTAGCTAGCTATTGCCAGTGTCTTCCTCCAACGTTCGGGGTGCTCAACATGCCGTTGGATGATGGGGCAGGCATTTGCCCCAATTGTCACTGAATTGGGCAAAAAGTGCCGACTGACTGGCCAAGTGCTCTGATCTGGCTTGATCAAGGCCAGGACCAATCATTCAGGCAAACGCCACACAACAATAACACAACCAACAGCAATCGATGAGTTTGTGCTTGGCCGCGTTCTGGTGTGGCAGGCTATGTTTGGCAGGCTTTGGGTGGGCTCTAAAAATGCCAGCCCCTGTCTGCGCCTGCCGGAACTCGACAACCTCCTGATGAGAGATCTTGGCCATCTGCATGGCCTGCCCAAAGAAAGAAAGAAAACGCGGTAGCCACAAAGAAATGGGTCTCCCCTCAAAAACTGAGGTTTGGCAGGCTCGGTGTCCTGTTTGGGGTCAATTGTAGAAAAGGACTTTAAAGGAAACCGTTCCCATTTTGGGGGTTCCCAGTGTTGAGACAAGCCCGACTGGGCAAATTACAAGTCACAAAACAAAGTGTGGAATGCCCTGGGAGCCATGTGTATAGTGATAGAGTAATTCCTTGGCCTGAACGGACCTTCCGGAGTGCCCAGGAATGAGCTGACAGCTTGCCCTTCCCAAGTTCTCTTCCAAGAGAATCATCAAAACCGCAGCATGGCCACCCGCGCACGAGTGGCGACCGACCCATCGAACATGCACGTAAGCATAAGGTTCCTGCAAGGAATGCGAACCCATCACTTTCAGAAAGAAAACCCTGAGACTCATCCGCCAGCCAGAAAAAGGCCACTTCGGGCTAATTACCCCACGAAATTGTGGGGCACCAAGGGGCCCAGATGATCCCTGCTGAGCTTTCGGGAGAAAAGGAATGAAGGCCCAAGGTTGATGTCCACACACCCCTAGATATTCAGTCGGCAACAGCCTCATGCACACGTGCATCCTCTTGGAACACCCGTCGCCTTATGGATTCATAGGCTAGCGGCTCGAACCCGGAACGAGCCCAGCGACCAGATTCACCAACAAGAGCCAGAGGTCCAAATCCCAATGAGTGCTTGCTTTGTTTAGGTTTGGAGCATCGAGCCTCCGGCTCCTCTTAAATCATTCCGCCCCTCTCCAAGCCCGCCCTTCTTTCTCGGGCAAGGCAATCCGTAGAGTCTGGTCCATATGTCGTGATGTGATCGAGGAGAATTAGTCGGAAAACAAGCCAGGGCTCGATGAGGAAAAGAAGCCGGAGCTCGGATTTGAAGGACCAAGGCCTGTCGACTAATTTTGGATTCGTGTGTATCGATGTACAAACTAGGGAAAAGAGTCTGCTGCTAGCTAGCTAGGTTCGGGGGAAACCAGAGAAGCTGAGTTCTGCCCCTGCCGCAGCTCAATGGACGTCAGCGGTGGGGATGTCTGGCCAAGCAACCACTTGAGAGAAGGTTCCCCATTCAAGTCATGGCCAGGTAGAAACCCGAGCAGGTTACCGTTGGGTGAAAAATGGCTACAACCCCAAAATGAACCGGCTGGGGTTAGGAGTATTCTGTTTCAAGGGCAAGGACAATTCCTTTTTGGGGTTAGGAGCGTATGTGCTGGTCAAACCCGAAAAGCCCACATCCTGGAATGGTGCCATGACGGATGTCGATCGGCTCCCTCCAAAGTGGTTTGTGGTTTCCGAACTCCCGCCATGATGTCCACCAGAAACCCCCCCCCCCCCACCGGGCGAAGCGACCCCGGAGTTCCACACCTCCAACTCCCGGCGCATGACGCGGCGCTGGCCCTCCAGGGCAAACATCCGCAGGAGCTGCAGCCTCCGTCGGGTCCGTCGGTTTTGGGCCGGCAGCAAACATGTTTATTTATTTATTTATTTATTTATTTTTGGGGGGGGGGTCCGTCGAGTTCGGGTTTTGGGGGCGGTAGCAAAGGTGCTGTTTGGGGGTGGCAAAAGTTGTTGTTGTTTTTTTTTTGGGGGGGGTTGACCATTTTTGGTGGAGCCACCCAGCAAAAAGGTACGGGCGCTGAACAACTGGGTTTCCCTCCCAAACACAGCTGGAACCTGACGCCACTGACGTTCAAGGAAAATGGCCCAAACCAGGACCCCTGTCATGATGCTACCGACTTCAGCCCCCATCCGCCTCAAAAAAATCCCAGCGATGGGGGCCGGGCATGGCTCACGGCCTACTGAGCTTCAGGGCATTTCATGGTGCCTGTCTGACCACTCTAATGTTAGTGTACGACTAGTAACCCAATACTGAAGCTTGCCCAAAAAACGCTACCCTACCATTTTGTTGGGCCTCCCTCCCCAACCCCCTCCCCCCAATACAGGTACCCGCTGCAGCCCCAAGCCAAAACCTGCCAAACAACGGGTACCTGCTTCCTCTGCGCTTTGACCCACACTGAGCCACTCCAAATGACAAGATGTTCAAGCTCACAAAGGGGAGCCCGCCTGGAGGCCAGAGCCCCCGCTCATTAACAGAACCCCCGCGCGATTCTTCAGGGCTCTTTGGGCTCAAAGACAACTGCAATGTTCTCCACGTTCCTATTTCCAGTTCAATTGGCTGGAAAGGGGCCAGAAAAACAAAAGGACGAGGACCAAAGCAAACCCAGATTAATCAGGGCTGTCCTCCGCAAATCTCAGTTTTGAAGAAGAGCTTGTCCAAACCTTGTCGACCTTGAAGGGGGTCGCGAGGGGGGGCGGGGGGAAAGGGAGGGCCATGTAGTGATCAGGGGGGAACCCACCACTTCAAAGGGAGGATGCCGTTGGCTTGGACACAACCTGCTAGCCGCCCGACGCGGCGGCGGCTAAGTTCGCGGCACCGTGGGAAAGGTGGCACTGCTGCTGCCAAGCTCTCCGACCTGGCGAAAGCTCGACATCCAAACGCCGGGAGCTTGCTCGCCGCTGCACGGAGATTCTTGCAGGACATACACCCATTAAAATAATGTCCTTCCAACGATGCCCGATGTAAAGCTCAGACCCTTCCTCCCAGTTCCTCCTAGCACAGCACCTGTGGCAGGGGACCTGGAAGATAACTGTCCTCTTGAAGGGCCATCTGTCAGGTGCCATAATAGTGGGAGGGAGTGTGTAAATCTTGCGCCGCACCTGCTCCTCCGAGAGCCCCAAGGACAAGCCAGCGTGCCTGCAGTTCCCCATCCCTCTCTCTCCTCTGGCCTGGGCCCCTCTCGGCATTTGTCAACACGGCGCAACGTTGTCGCCCCCTCCCCCATGTTTGAGGGTTGTGGGGCCCGCTTCCCAGAACTGAAGCAGAGACGTGAAATGCGAATGCGGAGTGACTGGGTCGCTGAGTTTACTGGTTCACGCCAGCCATCGCCAACCAATTCAATACAAACAACATTGGATGTGTGGATATGTCTGGATTGCTGCCCCGAAGTGGGGTAGCAGGTGCCCGTACCTCATGTAGAGCACTGGCCCAGGCATTTGGCGTGTTGCCCAGTGGACTGCGCAACAGTAAACCCCAACAAGTGCAAATGGAGGGGGGGCCCGCTCACGTTCAAAAACAAGCAGCCGGCTGCCGGAAGATTGATGCAACCATTACTCCTCAGCTTAGTCTCCTGGGGGTTGACACTTCTGAACAGGTGTGCTGCGCTCAAAACTGGTCGAGATTGGGTTGGCAAATAAAGCCTAAAGATCACAATTGTCCAGCAAAAGTGTGGCATGCACAGCACATGTTAGCAGCACACATCTCGTCGAGTTTGCTGGGAAATCTCCGACACCCGCGATCAGCCCCTCGTTCATGGTAGAAATGCCCTGCGTGTTCTTGGACAAAGCAGGGACTGTGCCACTCAACAACTGCACTTGGCAAGCCACTTCGCGGAGCTTTCGCGGGCTGTTTCCGCAAGAAAGTGCTCCAGCTTTTGCAACGCACTTTCCCTTGGCGGAAGTTAGTTGAAACTGTTTGCATCACTCGTCGAACACGTCCTGGTTGAAATGGCCACTGTGATACACCAACAGTTGGCTTCCCAAAGACTCCCTTTTGAAGGAAAAGACTCCTACAAGCATCGCAGTGATTGGACTTGCACCCCGAGTGATCAACCACAACCACTTTAAGGTGTGCTCAAAGGGGCGATCGGCTGACGTGGTTAGTAAGCCTGGCAACCCACAAAAGCCCATAGTAGCCGCCTACTCCAGCGGGTTACTGGGCTTAACCACTTACCAAGCTTGCCGTTCAGTGGGTTATTTCACCAGGCTTGCTACTTACCTGACGTACCCCATCGCCCCTTGAGTTCCCTGAGTCCACTCCGAGAGCTCCGTGGCTGAGGCCTGGCTTGGTCCAAGTTGGAAAACATGGCCTCGCGGTCCTGCGAACTCGATGCCAGCGATCGGCGGATCGAGATCCATGGGTAGGGGGTGGCTTGAAGGAGCCCGGGGCGTGGGGAATGAACCGTTTTGGGGTGTCCCTAGGAAACCACAGGATGAATGGTTGTGGATGGTTTTTTTTCCGGGGTCATTTGCCATTCCCTGCTGAGAACCGGCAAAATAGAAGGGCAATTCGAGTTCGAATGATTTCCGCGAATGAGCCTGCCTGGCCTGACTGAAGGCTGGAGACCCTTAGAAAGCACTTGCTTGCCAGAAATCGGGCTCACTGACTTGATGAAGCGTACCTGCCAAGATGATCAATAGATCAGCGTGCTTTTTGGGAATGGGAAGAACAGGCGTGCATCGTCCATGCTCTTCCAATAAGAACGGCAGGAGTTAGGTGGGCATCCCGTCGCGCTTGGACATGCAGCGCAGTCCTGCGTGGTGTTCACTGGCAGCCCCAGCAAAGAAAGCAAGCAGATCAAACCTCAGGCACCCGGCTTTGGATTCACCGCCCAAAAAAGCGGACGGCTGCTCATAACCAAGGGCGGCAGGTGAACGCCTTTGCCTGGGCGTGTGACTCAATCGGCACCTTGTAGCTCTGCGCTTGGCTTCAGCCGAAATCATGCCATTCATGTGCAAATGTAGTCACTCCACCAAGAATCCCCTACACATGCATAGTACAGCAATGCGCAGCACGCCTGACAAGTCACCATGCGAAACGACACGCGTACAAGTAAGCTGCTTCGCAAAGACACACCGCTGCCCAAATCAAACTATCTACGCAATGCTTGCCCAAAGACACGCCTTTCCCACCATACAAACCAACATCATACTAGTTGCCCTGGATGCTAAGGGAGCATTGGGCTGGCATCACAAAGCTCCGGTACCATGTCTGACGTTGCGTCTTGCACCCTCTGCCATAATCCATGCCATTCGCATAGCTTCTCACTTTTAAACAAATACCATAATAAAAGATGCGGGCAGCACAGTAGCCAAGGGGCTTGTCAGAATGTGTTCATTTGCCACCATTGTGACCCCTAGTTATGTTGCGCTGGTTTGTGAGCGCATCCTGGCATTTCAATTGAAGCAGTGGGACTCTCACATTCTTGGAGTGCGAAGTTTAGCCCAACAGGGGAACAAACAATGCAAAGGTGGCCACATACCGTCGGAAAAGCGCAAAGAGGCACTTCTCCTCCTCACCACGCTAAGGGCAGCACCCCCACGTTCAAGGGTATTCCCACCAGTGAACTGCTGCTCCTTGCGCGCAAGCTGCGCATCCGTTCACGAATCTCACGGCTGGTGTGATTGCGCACACTCCGAAAGAAGGTGCGCATAACTTGCACAACCTTTGGACCATGGCTCAGCCAATTACTCTACCAAGCCCTCGTGCCATCTAGTGCCAGTGTGCATACAGACATGTGTGCACAACAACGCACCTGTAACAACAACGTAATTACGCGCTTGTGGCACATGGAACGTCATATATCTGGAGTGCATGCACCATCTTTGAACATCCGGAGCCAACACGCAGCAAAGATACTTTTTCGGTACAGGGTGGCTTATTGCAAACATGCCTGGCAATGCCATGCACGCATGAAAAGAAGAGTCTTTTCCTGTCCGCCCCAAACTCCCGTGGCCCACAAGCTTGCCAGCATGGCTCAAACGATTCACCTTGCCAGCCGTCTCAGGAATGACCACGCCCCAAGCAAACAAACTTGACATGGGCGTGTCTCAACACAGGTGTGGCGGGTCCCCTATTTTCACAGACACCCACATATGAATGAACAGGCTGGGCTTCCCTCCACAAGCGCACATGCACCGGAAATCCGAGGAACGCACGCATGCTGGCACCACAAAGCGTGCATAGACTGACAAACACATGCACGCAACAAAGAGCATGACACACAAACACATGCATATGCATGCAAGTAAGCAAGGGAGCATGAAGCAAAGGAAATAATAATTCTTCAATACATCGCCAAGCTAGTAAACCCTAAGCTCAGTTGTTCAGTGACCCTGGAGAAAAAAGGGAACCCTTTTTGGGGAAGACCATTTTTAGTGGGGCCACCCCCCCCCCAAAAAAAAAAGAAAGAAAGGACAAATAAAAAAGAATTGGTGCCACTGAAGAACTGAGTTTCCATTTGAACCAACCCATTCCCAGGCATGCTCACAACATCGCCCAAATAAAAACATCGGCCCAGCTGGTAAACCCTAAGTCCTTAAATAACTTGTTCATGATTTCGACGTGCTCCGTCGGGAAGTAGGCTCGACATTGGGCCGCCTGCGAAGTGTTGGCCAGTTCGGCTGTTCGGACATGCTGCGGGTAGGCCGAAAAACCGGGAGAAATGTGTGCGCGTTGAATACAGCTGCGTGTGTCCGGAGTTGTTTCCTGTCAGGACAGTAAAAGTGTGCGGTGGGTTATTCAAGGAGAAATCCTTCTGCCACAAGTCATATGCAGATGGACGGCATACCGGACACCAAACCACTAAACCAACTAAAAGGCTTAGAAGCTAAGGAACTGGATGCCTGGGAACCACCAAGAAATAAGTGAGCTGACTTGGAGAAACTGGGGCCTGGCTTGGAACCCAAGAACTAGCAGAGACGTGGCACTGCGACCAGCGAGCCGGGCAACCTGGACAGAGCGGGGTGAAGAAGCCCTGCTGAACAAGCGACCATACCAGGAAACAGGTCACAACGCGGGCAGTTGGCATACTCTGCGTTGGCCGCCAAGAAATGGTGTACAGAAATGGCCTGATTCTCTGGCACACTTGTTGCGCTTGAGCCCGGCAACTTGGGCAACAAGACTTGGCAGGTCCAGGGTCGCCTTCGCACAATGCATCTATAGTCTTGTCGCCGCTTCATGCCTGTCAAACGCACGTGGGACAGCTTCAACTCAAGTTGCCCTAAGCGAACTGGCCCGACCTGCGCATGTTTGTTAAATTACAACAATCCAACAAACTTGACCTTACATGACTTTACCATACCTATTGCCACAACCAGACCCGGCCGGAAAGACTGCCAGCAGCCTGTCACCAAGGTGTCTCTCTCTGTCGGCAATCTGCGAGCCTTTTCCCATCATACAGCAGGTAAAGCCCATTGGCTGGAGTCTGCATTCTACGCCGTCACTCCAAGGCTGCTTCATCCATGTTCTCAAAATGACCCGTGGATGATTCACACATGTTGTCAAGATGACCAATCTTGCCACACAGGCCGCACATGTCCTCAGCGTGCGGGCACTGCATCTTTTGATGATCTGCGCTTCCGCAGCAGTAGCATGGCTTTACTCTTCTGCCGGTTGCACTGCCGCTTGGGCCGGCCTCGCACATGTTCTTTAGGTGCCCGACTTTGTGGCAAAGGTCGCACACCTTGCTTGTGTGTGGGCACTCAACCTTCCGGTGTTCCATGCTGCCACAGCAGTAGCAAGCAAGCCCACTGCCTTTGCCCCCTGCTTTGCCTGTGCCAGCATCGGCGGACGACGCACACATTGCCTTGAGATGACCCATCTTGCCGCAAATGTCGCAGGTCTGCTCAACGTGCGGGCACTCCATCTTCTGATGTGAAGTGCTTCCACAGCAGTAGCACTGCTTCCCATGTCCGCCGGAAACTACGATGCTGCCTGCTCTAGACTCGCACATGTGCTTCAGGTGCCCCACTTTGTGGCAAAGATCGCACTCCTTTCCTGTGTGGGGGCACTCCACCTTCCGGTGCGCCGTGCTGCCGCAGCAATAGCAAGCAAGCCCACTGCCTTTGCCCGCTGATTTGCCTGTGCCAATACTTGCATACAAAGCACACATTGCCTTGAGATGACCAATCTTGCCGCAAATGTTGCAGGTCTGCTCAACATGCTGGCAATCCATCTTCTGATGTGAAGTGCTTCCACAACAGTAGCACTTCTTGCCGGGTCCGTCGGAGACCACGCTGCCTGTCCTAGACTCGCACATGTGTTTCAAGTGCCCGACTTTGTGGCAAAGGTCACACTCCTTTCCTGTGTGGGGACACTCAACCTTCCGGTGATCCGAGCTGCCACAGCAATAGCAAGCAAGCCCACTGCCTTTGCCCCCTGCTTTGCCCGTGCCAGCATCGGCAGACGAGGCACACATTGCCTTGAGATGACCCATCTTGCCGCAAATGTCGCAGGCCTGCTCAACATGTGGACACTCCATCTTCTGATGTGAAGTGCTTCCACAACAGTAGCACTTCTTGCCGGGTCCGTCGGAGACCACGCTGCCTGTTCTAGACTCGCACATGTGTTTCAGGTGCCCGACTTTGTGGCAAAGGTCACACTCCTTTCCTGTGTGGGGGCATTCAACCTTCCGGTGATCCGAGCTGCCACAGCAATAGCAAGCAAGCCCGCTGCCTTTGCCTGTTGATTTGCCTGTGCCAGCATCGGCAGACGAGGCACACATTGCCTTGAGATGACCCATCTTGCCGCAAATGTCGCAGGTCTGCTCAACATGTGGACACTCCATCTTCTGATGTGAAGTGCTTCCACAACAGTAGCACTTCTTGCCAGGTCCGTCGGAGACCACGCTGCCTGTCCTAGACTCGCACATGTGTTTCAGGTGCCCGACTTTGTGGCAAAGGTCACACTCCTTTCCTGTGTGGGGGCACTCAACCTTCCGATGTTCCGAGCTGCCACAGCAGTAGCACGCAAGCCCACCGCCTTTGCCCCCTGCTTTGCCCCTGCCAGCATCGGCGGACGACGCACACATTGCCTTGAGATGACCAATCTTGCCGCAAGTGTCGCAGGCCTGCTCAACATGTGGACACTCCATCTTCTGATGTGAAGTGCTTCCACAGCAGTAGCACTGCTTGCCGGGTCCGTCGGAGACCACGCTGCCTGCTCTGGACTCGCACATGTGCTTCAGGTGCCCGACTTTGTGGCATATGTCGCACTCCTTTCCTGTGTGGGGGCACTCCACCTTCCGGTGCGCCGTGCTGCCGCAGCAGTAGCATTTGCCGCCGGGTTCTGGTCCTCAGCTCTAGAGCGGTAGTCATGTCATTCATTGTGGTCTGTGCCTCCACTGGCTTGTCTGGACTTGTTTGCTATGTCCGCCGACAACAAACGCCGTGTTGGACACAAGGAGTGGAAGCAAAGAGCTTGATTGCATCAGTCGCAACCCCACCTGTTTCTTGAAGGAGACTTTCCAGACAAACAACGGACATTGCAAACAAAAACAACACGCATCCCCAGCTAGGGAAAACAGCATAAACAAACAGAGGCGAACAAAAGGTCTCTGTTCAAGGTCAAAAGCACATGCAAACAAAAAGCACAAGAAACATCAGCAGGACAGAGCTTGATTGCATCAGCAGCGCCCCCGTCCATGACTTCGGGGAATTGGTCCAAAAAAAACGAGGAAGTTACAAACAACCAGCAGCACCCGCACACACACACACACACACCCACACCCACACACTTGGACACACACACACACACACGCACACACGCCTTCGGGGGCTTTCCGGATGAGTCAACCAAGATTCATCGGCCAGGGTTTGTTGCCTCATTAGCACCCCCATCCATCACTTATGGGGACATGCCCAAAAAGACCCACTTCCCAGGGATCCAAACCATTATTTTCTTCTAAAATGGCCTGCCCAGAAAGTTTATAAAGTCCAGGAACTCAGGAAGTAAGAAGAAAAACGAGGGAGCTGCAAATAAAAGCTACGCACGCCCCCAAATTGGGAAACAACAGTGGCAAAGTAAACTGGGAGGGGGCTCCCCAAAGGGACGAATGCACAAAAAAACAGAAAACACAAGAGGCGTCAGCAGAACAAAGCTTGATTGCATCAAAGTACCGCCGTCCATCACACACACACACACAGCCTCTTGACAATTTTGGATTGCTGCACGGCTTGCACGTGTGAAGCACGTGTAGGAACGAGTTGCCCCTAAACCATCTCTGCCCATTGCTTTGGCTGTCCTGTGGCCAAGAGACATGAACCAAGGTCAAGCAAAAGGTTCCTGCCCAAACCAAGTCTCCTGTGCACATTCACTGTAGCCTGTAAGACACAACTAAGCAAGCAGGCCTGTAACGTCGGCGGTCTGAGCCGGAGGCGTTGTAAAATGCCACATCAAAGTGAACAGCAAAATTTGGCAAGATGGTGCGCTTGGATTGCAAAAGCGTGGCGGGGAGTCGGCTGGGATGCATTTACGCATACGTTGCTATGCGGGACGTGCCAATGGGCCGGGGTCACCGTAAAGTCATGTCAGCAAAGGTGTGTGCTTTGTTTTTTGGGGGGGTGAACCGTATCAATAAGGACGAGACCACCCTGGAAGCAGGACGAATAGGATTGTCTCAGGATACGGGAACTCCGAGAATGGGTGCTTGAGTGGTTGTCCTTTGGTTTTGCTTTAAAGACAAGCCAAGCCTAAACACAGGTACGAACAAGCCGCACGGCTGCGTCTCTTTTATTCGGGGACCCCCCCCCAAAAAAAAAAGAGACATATATGAAAACATATGTGGTTTTCCGTTTGGAGCCACAAAAGGGAAATATCCTCAAAAAAAAGACAAAACTAAGTGGGCTCCTTTTGGCTTCGGATGGATGCTTGATCAAATCACCCCTTGGCGAAGCCAGGGGAGTCCACATGATTACCGACATTTGCGTTTGCGCCCCGTGCACAAAAAAAACATCCAATCCTGATAGGTTCACCCTGTAAAACCAAGAGCGAAAAATAACACATATTCCTTCTTGCGCAAATGGATAGCTTCCCTGTTGAAACCAACAGAACAAAAGGGCAAATATTCCTTTCCGCGAATGGATAGCTTCCCTTTTGAAACCAGAAGGAAACAAACACATTCCTTTCCAATGGGCGATGGTGGTTCAGCAAAAGCCAAGCCAGCGCCGTGCGTTTGCCCTCCGCTGCCAAGCGACGGGCGTAGGGCGCAGTTCGCCATGGCCTCGCTGCAGCCACCTGGTGGGAAACTCGGGCGCCGCTGGATGTGTCGGGGGCGGGGGAGTAGTTGGGGTCTTGAGGGGGGCAACGATTTGTGGGTACCTTGGGGGTTTGAGGGGATTGAGGGGCATTTT